TGCTGGGTAAAATAGGGACAACCCCAGCAATTGGGCTGTTTTGCCCCAGCGGTTGGGTTACTAACCAGAAGGTTGGGGTAAACATTTAACCCAACCGCTGGGTCAAAACAGCCCAATTGCTGGGTTTGTCCCTATTTTACCCAGCACTGTGTTGTATTTAACCCAGCATTTTTTAGAGTGTATTGACACATTTTACCACTGGGCGAGTTATGACCTCTTGCTTGTTTTCTCTGAAAAATGTACAATTTTTCTTTTTTATTTCTTTTGGAATTTGTTTATGTTTGCTTATATAAACATATATTAGATAAATTACAGCGGACAATTTTTTATGTTTTACATTTAGGAAAACTAAACATACAGTAACTACACATAACTACTGTCATGTAGCTTTTAGTGTAGTGTGTCTAATTTCTCTAAACGAGAACTTTGCTAGCTCATTCTTGAAGTCACTTCCAATGCCGAATAAAAGTTTATCGTTAAAAAATATATATTCGGATATTTTGGGAGCTCATGACAATGAAAAAAATCTGTAGTTTCTGCTATTAGGAGTGTACTGTTAAAGGTTTGTGGCTGGAAAATAAATATTTTCAATATTCGTGTTTGCTCTGGGAGAGCGTCAGTGTGTCACGTGACCTGAGGAAGGCGAGTCTCGAGACCGTAAACAACATGGCGCGTCACGAACCTAGAGAGTCTTAAAACCTACTCAGGGAAACAGAAGCGTTTAGCATACTGAACTCACACGTTTACAAGCTTCAATTTTGATAACACTGTTTGGTAGTTATTTACCGAGGTCTGCAGGTAGAAACCAACGGAGCAGAAGAGCTGTCAAAGCGCTGTTACCATTTATCTGGTGGGTCTCTTTTGTAGGTCGCTTACTGTGTGCTAGCTTGAGCGCTAAATTATAAACAAAGGGCTGTTTTGGATGTATATTTAACGTAACAAGTAGGCTTTTATGTATTTTTGCTTTTTTAAACTCTTAGTTTGTAAATATGAAACCATTGTATGAAGTGTTCGTCCCATGGCATTTGCACTTTTCAGTTCTAGCCTGTCATTTTAGCATGCACGCCTGTCAGTCACAACACAGCCTTTTGTCAGCTGCATGTCAACATTCATTTCAATCATCTGTTTAATGTCATTTTTCAAGACAAGCAAATATTGGGATGTTAATAACACTGACATCCCACACAGTTAATGCACTACATCAGTGTTCATTTTGTCGTAATACATATTTATGCATTGTGTCATGTCCATCACAAATTTATAGTCAGAGAAGTATATTTCTTATTAATTGTGTGTATGTCCTGTTATTTACAGTATTACTAAAAATGGTGTCAAATGTCTTTAAGATAATCCTAGAATTGTTTGTCTTGCTTTGTATTTAACCCAGCATTTTTTAGAGTGTATTGACACATTTTACCACTGGGCGAGTTATGACCTCTTGCTTGTTTTCTCTGAAAAATGTACAATTTTTCTTTTTTATTTCTTTTGGAATTTGTTTATGTTTGCTTATATAAACATATATTAGATAAATTACAGCGGACAATTTTTTATGTTTTACATTTAGGAAAACTAAACATACAGTAACTACACATAACTACTGTCATGTAGCTTTTAGTGTAGTGTGTCTAATTTCTCTAAACGAGAACTTTGCTAGCTCATTCTTGAAGTCACTTCCAATGCCGAATAAAAGTTTATCGTTAAAAAATATATATTCGGATATTTTGGGAGCTCATGACAATGAAAAAAATCTGTAGTTTCTGCTATTAGGAGTGTACTGTTAAAGGTTTGTGGCTGGAAAATAAATATTTTCAATATTCGTGTTTGCTCTGGGAGAGCGTCAGTGTGTCACGTGACCTGAGGAAGGCGAGTCTCGAGACCGTAAACAACATGGCGCGTCACGAACCTAGAGAGTCTTAAAACCTACTCAGGGAAACAGAAGCGTTTAGCATTCTGAACTCACACGTTTACAAGCTTCAATTTTGATAACACTGTTTGGTAGTTATTTACCGAGGTCTGCAGGAAGAAACCAACGGAGCAGAAGAGCTGTCAAAGCGCTGTTACCATTTATCTGGTGGGTCTCTTTTGTAGGTCGCTTACTGTGTGCTAGCTTGAGCGCTAAATTATAAACAAAGGGCTGTTTTGGATGTATATTTAACGTAACAAGTAGGCTTTTATGTATTTTTGCTTTTTTAAACTCTTAGTTTGTAAATATGAAACCATTGTATGAAGTGTTCGTCCCATGACATTTGCACTTTTCAGTTCTAGCCTGTCATTTTAGCATGCACGCCTGTCAGTCACAACACAGCCTTTTGTCAGCTGCATGTCAACATTCATTTCAATCATCTGTTTAATGTCATCATTTTTCAAGACAAGCAAATATTGGGATGTTAATAACACTGACATCCCACACAGTTAGTGCACTACATCAGTGTTCATTTTGTCGTAATACATATTTATGCATTGTGTCATGTCCATCACAAATTTATAGTCAGAGAAGTATATTTCTTATTAATTGTGTGTATGTCCTGTTATTTACAGTATTACTAAAAATGGTGTCAAATGTCTTTAAGATAATCCTAGAATTGTTTGTCTTGCTTTTTAAAATAATAATATTGCTAACAATAATTTTCTCTGCTTAGTATGTTAAAATGCATAAAAAAACCATAATAAAGTTTTTAGTGAAATTGTTTAAATCTTTTTTTTCAATGATGTAACTTACATAGTACCATTCAAACATTTGGAGTCAGTAAGAATTAAAAAAAAATCTTATTTCTTATTAATTGTGTGTATGTCCTGTTATTTACAGTATTACTAAAAATGGTGTCAAATGTCTTTAAGATAATCCTAGAATTGTTTGTCTTGCTTTTTAAAATAATAATATTGCTAACAATAATTTTCTCTGCTTAGTATGTTAAAATGCATAAAAAAACCATAATAAAGTTTTTAGTGAAATTGTTTAAATCTTTTTTTTTCAATGATGTAACTTACATAGTACCATTCAAACATTTGGAGTCAGTAAGAATTCAAAAATAAAACTTTTTATTCAGCAATGCATTAAATTGATCAAACGGTGACAATAAAGACGTTTATAATGTTACAAATGATTTCTATTTCAAATAAATCCTGCTCTTTTAAACTTTCTAGTCACCAAAGAATCCTGAAAAAAAAATTCAGTTTCCACAAAATATTAGGCAGCAAATCTGTTTTCAATATTGATGATAATAATAATAAGAAATGTCAAAACAAAATCAGCATATTTCTGAAAGATCATGTGACACTGAAAACTGGAGTAATGGCTGCTGAATATTCAGCTTTGCCAACACAGGTATTTCGCTTATTATTTGGGTGTATGTCATAGTTTCGACATAATTACTAAAAGATGGTGTTCAATGTCTTTAAATAAATGTGTGGATATTTATAATATTTCTTGCTTTTTTTATAATGACATGAATGTGATTGCTTGCATTGCTTATTTCTGAATAAATTATTTGGCAGACAATCAGTCTATGGGCTCTCAGTCCAGTTCTGGGATGTCCGGTCGGGGCTCTGGCAACAACCCAGACCAGTCCGAACCAGAACCCAACCAGAATTCCAATCAGACGGGTCACACACAGGGCGAGAGGCAGTCAGGATCTGAAGAGAACGTTGACTTGGCACAAGTTCTGGCGTACCTACTGCGGAGGTAGTTATATACATAACCTACGTAACATTTTTTTGGCGATCCCTTTGCCTGGGCTGCATGTTCTGGAACTCTGCCACTTGCTCTTTTGTCGTATGGGTATTGCAAATTGTTCTTCCTTTTTCTCTACTATAGGGGCCAGGTCCGCCTGGTCCATGGAAGTGGAGCGACGGGCCTACAGCTCGTGCAGTCATATTCAGACTCAGATGAGGACAGCGATGGGGCCTGGGATGGGCGGCTAGGACATCGATATGACCCTCCAGGTGGGAATTATGGACCATATGGCATAATTTTCATTCTATAAAAGTGAGCAATGGTGCCATAAATACCATTGAATTAAACACTTCTGTGGTCATTTACTATGCCTTATTTATTCTCGCTCAGTGGATGCCCAACCAGACACACAGGAAGTTGACCGCAGTGAGATCCACACACAGATCCTGCTTGCCACTGCATCCTCAGACTTAAAGGGCAGACACAGTTTCACACAAATGCTGGCAGAGGTAAGGCGGATCTATGGATATATATCTTAATGTACAGTACAGGGTATTTATAGTAACAACACAATGTGTCTGAATGAGCAGTTCATCCAGCTGTTTTACTAGTTTGTAGCTCTTCAGATTTGTAATTAAGAAATCAAGAACTCTTTATACAGCCAAATAGAGTGGCAGATGTGCAGCTTTCTATAATCTAACTGTGTATTTCTTTCTGAAGCGGGAACAGGGACGGTGTCGTGGGTCAAGTTTCTCTCATGGAGAGTGCAGCCGAATCCGTTCACAGTAAGTGCAACATTAATGCTGTGCTACAACAACAAATGCTAGATACTCACAGATACAGAGGCACATATGTCAGTACAATTTAAAATAGTGATTTTTCTTTTCTAAAACTGATCATTCTTTGCATACGTATATAATAATTAATACACATTTCCTCATAGTTTTCTGCCTAATCATGTGGTATACAAGGACACTTACCAGCAGAAAGTCTTTTGTGGAGTCTACAGTGATGAGGGAAACATGTTCCTGTCTGCATGCCAAGGTGAAACTGTAATTCAAGACTTTGTCATTAGTATTTCTTTTCTATTTTTAGTAGTTTCCAAATGTCAGTCATGTTCTCAGACATGTTCAGATGCAAAACAAAGTTCTACAAAAGTCCTGTAGTGTAATTGTTTCAATCTTTTTTTGGCTTTAATTTAAGTACATATAAACTACCGTTCAAAAGTTTGGGGTCAGCAAGGTTTATTTATTTATTTTAATTTTTTTAAGAAATGCAAGAATGCATTAGACTGATGAAGTGACACTAAACGCATTTATAATGTTACAAAAATTTCGATTTCAGATAAATGCTGTTCTTTTGAACATTGTATTCAACAAATAATCCTGAAAAAATGCTCATGGTTTTTACAAAACTGAACAAAAACAACAAAGCTGTTTTCATTAATAATAATAAGAAATGTTGAACACCAAATCAGCATATTAGAATGATTTCAAGGATCATGTGACACTAAAGACTGGAGCAATGGCTGCTATACAATCAGCTTTGCCATCACAAAAATAAATTGCATTTAAAAAATATTAAAATAGAAAACGGTCATTATATGGTCAAATATGACTATTTTTACTGTGTTTTGATCAAATAAAAACAGCCTACGTGAGCATAAAAACAAACACACAAAAATCTTTGAACCAAACATTTGAATTGTGTAGCGCAAACAGTATCTTATACTCTTCTTTTTCTGTCTGTTTTTATAGATCAGAATATCAGGTTATATGACACCAGTAGGGGCCGTTTTACTCTAAAGAAGACAGTGAAGGCCAGAGACGTTGGCTGGAGCATTCTGGATGTGTGTTTCACCCCTGATGCACGTTGTGTGCTGTACTCCAGTTGGTCTGACTACAGTAAGACAGGGCAAAGTCACTTAAACTGCTTTTTTGGCACCACTGTCGTTTATTCCAGTAATGCATATCTGTCTGTGCTCCCTCTCTTTAGTCCATGTGTGCAGTGTAGATGGGGACAATGAAACACACACCGCTCTGGACCTCAAGTTAGTGTTTCCTCATAGTACATTTTAGCATTAAAACTCAGGTAATCACCTGTATGCTTCCTCTTCATGTGGATGACAGACATTAGAACAGATTTCCATAACCATTCATCACTACAGCCATCACGTGACCGTGCGCTAACCAAAACTCAACACGCTGGCAAAGTGAAATGTGAAGGAAGTTTGTTTTCAAAGTAATGACCAATTGGGGTTGTTTTTGTTTATTTTAGGGACAATTCTCTGTTATTTATGAGTTCAGTTCTTTTTTTCCCCTTTCGACACTCATTACTGTAGCAAAGACATCATTTATAAATAACAGATATTTGATTATGCTCATAATATGTAAGAACAATAACCCTCCTATATTGAAATTATAGTATATATATTGTAATTAAAGTGCCATAACACCAGATATGCTAATAATGCCAATAGCTGACTTTGCCAGTGTGTCTTTCTGCCTCTCGCATCACATTCACATGACCATGTTGACATCTTCTCTGCATTGCATAACATTTAGTGACCATCCTGTGATGATAAACTGTAATATTATGCTTTTAGAGGTTTGGTCTTGCTCTGTTCATCCCCAAGGGCTGTGTGAATGGAAATTGGTTTATGTGTTTAAATATTTATATTTTATTTATGTTTCATTATAGCTCTGAGGTATATTTAATGTAACAACCATGTTAGAAATGACTGTAGTTGTTAGTGTTCATTGTTGCTGATGCTGACAGCATTCTTTCATCTTCTTTCAGTCCTGATGAAAGGAGGTTCTGTGTTTTCTCTCTAGCAGCATCCACAGATGGAAAAGAAATTTTAGGCGGGTTAGTAATATACTATGGTCTAAGAATACTAACCCCAGAAAACAATCCTGTGCTAACTCAATATTAGTTTTTATATCTGGATACTTTTTTCAAACATGTTGAAACTTGTTTTGCTTTTCTGATTTCCACTATTGGAGTGTTATTTTATTTTAATTTATTTATTTATTAGCAGAATAACCACCTACCATACATAGAAAACTAAAGTGTTCCTTGATTCTTAATGAGATGCTTTTTGTCTCTGTCAAATAGTGCAAACGATGGCTGCCTGTATGTGTTTGATCGTGAACAAAACAAGAGAACACTAAAGGTATGATTCACACGTTAGTAATGTAATAGAATGGCTTACTTTTGCACTCTTAATCCAGGGGGAAAAACTCTTAGAAAAAAATATTTATTTAGAGGCTAGTGGATAAGAAAAAGTCACAAATACCACATCATCAGTAACCCAAAAACGTTTAGTTAATTTTCATCTGCGGCACTAAATACTAAATACAATAAATATCTTTTTTTTTTTTTTAGAAAATGTTGAATTAATTAAAATTAAAGCTTTTTATTGGATTAATATCAGTTAACTCTACTGTCAATCTGTCATACTTCTCAGCCATCCTGTGACTTTAAGCCTTGCGTAATCTTTATAACTCCCCATCTCAGTGCATCAAAGGTCTATCGTTCTGAATTTAAAGTCGTCATTGATATGCAAGCTAGATTTAATGAGAACAATATCCAGACATTACCCTCTGTAGCAACCACTCCTTGATGATTCTGGCAGTGTGGTATGGCACATTATTCTGTTGATAATGCCCATCACTGACAAGGAACACAGTTGCCATGAATGGGTGCACTTGGTCCACAACGATGTTCAGGTACCTGACAACTGTCAGGGATTGTGCTATTGGGATAATGGGGCCTAAAGTGTCCCAAGAAAACATCACCCACAGCATAACACCGCTGCCAACGGCCTGTGTCCGCCCAACAGTGCATCCAGCGTTTCTGCGCTTGGCCATCAATTTTTGATGCACCTGGAATCTTGATTCGAGACCAGGCCACTTTCTTCCAATAATCAATGGTCCAACTCGATGATCTTGGGCCCATTTCATGCATTGTTGGTGATGACTTGCAGTTTGCATGGGGACCCGGCTGGGTCGTCGGCTATGCAGGCCCATATGCAGAAGGCTGCGATGAACAGTGTGCTGTGACACATTGCCCTGCTCACCACTGTTGTATCTGCTGCTGATTTGTCGCACTGTGGCCTTGCGGTTGCTGTGAACAATGCATGATAGTCTCTGCTCCCCTCTGGCATCTATGAGCTGTGGACGACACATGGCTGGACGACAGTTCAACATTTGGCCATCCGTGCACCACTTTTGACACATACTCACTACTGCGCCATGTAAACAACCCACAAGGTGTGCCGTTTCTGAGATCGAAGTTCTGAGGCGCCGTGCCATCACAATTTGTCCTTTATCAAACTCCGATAAATCGGCAGCTTTTCCTATTCTGACAGTGAAAGCTCTACTGACTGAAAGTAAGTGCTCCGGTGGTATATATACTGCTCTGTGAACTGCACCTGCGGCAACATTCGGTTGCCAGGCGCGCTCATTGCTCTAGGCTGAGAGGCTTTTGAGTTGACTAGTTTTCATAATGTAGCGTATGTTCATTTACATACTCTCTACATTATGAAATCATGATTATAATTTTGAGCAAAATGATTGTGATTATTGGTTTAATCATTATGCAGCATTACTGAAATATAAGTTTCATAAGATTTCATTGACTAAAACTAGACAAAAATTCACAGCCTTTTAGCCAACTAAAACAGTCTAGGTTGACCAATATGATGAAAACTAAAAAGGACATTTGACACAGGACTAAGACCTAGAAATTAAAAAACATAACGTTAACACTACGGGCCCTATTTTAATGATCTAAGCGCATGGTCTACTACAGCACACGGTGCAAGTGCACTTGGGGCGTGTCCGAATCCACTTTTGCTAGTTTAACGACGGGAAAAATGGTCGGCGCGCCCGGCACATGGTCTAAAAGAGTTGTCCCTATTCTCTTAATGAGTAATGGGTGTGTTTTGGGCATAACGTGCAATAAACCAATCAGAGTCTCATCTACCATTGCCTTTAAAAGCCAGTTGTGCTCGCGCCCTGGTAGATTCACTATTTACTTGGCGGAATTTGCAAGAGCAAAGACTGAACGCTTCTCCAGAGAGTAACATCTACGGGGCACAATAATAATCTTTAAATTTTTAATATTTGACATGTTTGTGTGCTGCTGCGTGTCCGTGTGGGTAATAAGCAGAGTGTATGCACGTTGTTCACCCGTTGTGCTCGCGCCCTGGTAGATTCACTATTTACTTGGCGGAATTTGCAAGAGCAAAGACTGAACGCTTCTCCAGAGAGTAACATCTACGGGGCACAATAATAATCTTTTAAATTGTAATCCTTTCATTTTTAATATTTGACATGTTTGTGTGCTGCTGCGTGTCCGTGTGGGTAATAAGCAGAGTGTATGCGCGTTGTTCACCCACCTTTAGGCGCATATTACTAACGTGCTCTTTAAATGACAAAAAAAATGTCTATTTCATTTGCCTCAAAATAGCAGCGCGTAAACACTGCGCCTTTTCAGACCAGCACGCCCATAGGTGCACAAATGGGCACAAATGCATTTGCTATTTAAACAACGTGCCACAAGACGTGAAAATGATATCTGCGCCGGGCTGAAACTAACAAAAAACGCTTGCGTCGCGCCAAGTGTATGATAGGGCCCAATGACCATGAGACTTCTTTGAACTCATTGATTGTCTTTTTTCCTTCTCTTGTCACGTTCGCTCAGTGGGATGGTGCCATACGTCGGTGGGAACACACGCAGAACCACCCTCTGGACAACGACAGAGAGAGGATGAACGTGGATATGCTGGAGACGAAAACCAAACGCTATTGATGATGTCAGAGGTAGATGGTGCCATCGTAGCAGGAATGGGATGGAGGAGGAATAAAGAGAAACAGAGAAAAAAAATCAGAAAAGAGGACACATTTTGTGAAATCACATTGATGTAGTGTTAGGCAGGGTCTTCAGGTTTTTGTTTGATTTCACATTACCGGCACAAAAAGATGATACAAATATGTTTAAGCTAAAAGGATCATTGACATTTAGTTAATGGACACGGGGCGTGCTGTGATTTCTCTTTTACGCCTCTCTTTCAGCTCAGAGATTTAAGCGCAGGTTTAAGCCTAAGTGAAAGACTTTGAGTGAATTTCACCATTATAAAGAACGCATGATTTCAGACGGGCACAACACAACTGCTTTGCTTGAAAAATTACTGTATGGTAACTGTTGCTTCACCCACAAAAAGCAATACTTGCATAATGAAATATAAAAAGATGATTTTACACATAATGGACATGTCTCCCAAAGTGCAAAGAATTCCAGGAATAATTCTAAATATTGTAAGATATTTTATTGCTATTAATGTTCAGGATTTGATTTTGTAGTTCAATGTAAAATAATCTTTTCTGTCAAAACTGAATGCGTGTTAAAAATGCGTGTGTGGAGACATAGTTGTGGGTTTATGGGAACGGGAGTGAGATTCTTTATGCGTATGTGTGTGAGCATGCGTGCAAATATGTTTCTGTTGACACAAAGGTTTGATTTGTGTATGATTTAAGTGCATTTCAAATTCATTGGAACACTCACAAAATTGTTTTACAAGAATAATTAAACTCATGCGCACAACTTTGTTTGGACTATAAATCGTATCAAATATTTCAGCCAGCTGTAAAGCAGTACATTTTGCATTGTAAGCCAATTTGTATGTGCTACATGCATTCAAAATTATTTTTCAAACTATTTGAGACAAGGTCAGAATTTCGTTACTCCCATTGAAGGTGACAGTGTCTCATATAGTCTGAACAAGAGTGTACTGTATATTTGCTATATTGTAATGATAGTAGGTAAAGCTAATGAGGAGAACATGGTCTTTTCTAACCTGTGAAGAAAAAAAAAATGTGGTCAACATATGCATTACTATTCAAAATTTTGGGCTCAGTAAGATCTTTTTTTTTTAAGGAAATTAATATTTCTATTCAGCAATTAAAATTACATTAAAATGACAGTAAAGACATTTATAATGTTATAAAGATTTTTTTCTTATTATGATGATAAGAAATGTTTCTCCAAATCAGCATATTAGAATGTCTGAAGGATCATGTATTCAGCTTTACCATCACATAAATAAATTACATTTCAAATATATTAAAATAGAAAACAGCCGATTTCGTCTATATATATATATAGTATATAGTTCATAATATTACTGTATTACTGTTTTTACTGTATTGTTTAATCAAAGAAATGCAGCCTTGGTGAGCATAAGAGACATTTTTTATAAAACAATAAAAAAATGTTTTTACTGCCAAACGTTTGAACAGTACTGTAAATAACCATAAATAGTGGGGAAACACCTTGAATGAACACATTTATTACAATAATCATATAGTCCATATAGTTACCAGTTATCTGTTTATATTAGTTTATAGTGAATAGAGTAAAATGAGTCAACCTTACAATAACACAACTGTTTAGAAGAAACACAGTACATGCACTAGATTAAATTGTAAGTTTTATATCTGTTGTTTTGTGTGTGTTCTGTTTTGTGTGTGTGTGTGTTTTGTTTGACCTTTTTTCCAAAGCCAAAGTTTATTTTAATCCATACTACAGATACAGATGCTAAATAGAGTTGAAACCACAAAGGGAATGTTGCTGTACTGCTTTGTATTACACACACACAGAGCAAGCTGATAAGATGGGAATGTTTGGAGCTGTTAAGGAGCAAAATGTTGTCAGGACCGTGAGTGTGTGTGAGTGAGAGGGTACATGATGAGAAGTGTGATATAAACCAGCAGGTTGAACTCAACTGTGAAAACAAAAGGGAAGCTAATAACCCTGCTGACAGATGGTAGAACAATCTCATTCTGTCCTGCTCAGTTTGTGCTGTTAGTCGATCTGTTGAACATGCAGTGGAAGTTCTGCCCTCAGCAAACCAAGATGGATCTTTGTGGACTAAAGGAGATGCTTTATAAGATCCATAACTCTGTCAACAAGCTTCTGCACTGGGCTCTAGAGCAGTTTACTGATCTCACAGCTGGACTACTGGCTCATTTCTTATTTAGACAGCATTTTCACTTCCTTCTCTCTGTGCTGGTGATGTTTGGACCTGCTCTGAGTCGCTGGGTCTCCAAGTACAGCATATTTGGCAACAAGAATCACTACCTGTACAGGCAAGATCTTATTCTAGTTAACTTTAGAATTACTAGAATTACCTCGTCACGGTTTTTGAGTG